TTTCTGTAAGACTAGACGTCCAAATAAATACAATGGAACCCCTATAGTTGGGCAGAGCCTGTGGCTCAGTGAGTAGGGCACCGGCCTCATATACCAAAGGTGGTGAGTTCAAACCCAGCCCCAGCCAAAACTGCAACAAAAAATAGCCGGGCACCTGTAGTCCCGGCTACTCAGGAGGCTGAGGCAAGAGAATCGCCTACGCCCAAGAGCTGGAGGTTGCTGTGAGTTGTGATGCTACGGGCACTCTACCAAGGGTGACAAAGTAAGACTCTCTCTTAAAAAAAAAAGAAAAAAACCCTATAGTTGATTACCTCCCTATCTTGACCACCTCAAGTTGACCTAATTTTCATAGGCCGAACATGTACTACATATCCTCAATGTACCATAAGAAACTAGTAGGCCTAGTTCCTTATGTTGGCCACTTCCATATGTTGACCAGTTTGTTAGTCTGGCACCACAGCTCATATCTATAATCCCAGCACCTTGGTAGGCCTGCTTGAGGTCAAGAGTTAGAGTAGCCTGAGCTGGTGAGATCCCCATCTCTACAAAAAAAAAAAAAGGAAAATTAGCCAAGCATAGTGGTATGTGCCTGTAATCCCAGCCGCTTGGGACTGAGGCTGGAGGCTCACTGAAGCCCAGGAGCTTGAGGTGGCAGTGAGCTATGATGATGCCCAGGAGACAACACAAGATTCCGTTTCAAAAAACAACATTCTTTATAATTGAAACAAATTCCAAATGGAAAAAACCAAAATTCAGGAAACTGTGTATATGCTATTTACTTGCCTATAAATACAGGCAAGGATGGCAAGAGTACGAACATGTATACCTGTGTTGGGAAGAATATATTCTTACATATGCAAAGTACCTCTAGAAACATATGCAAAGAAATTGTATTTCTTCTACCATTGGAAAATGAGAATGGGAATTACACTTTTGATTCTGAAACAATTTTGTACTATATGAAATATACTAACTTAAAATGCTTTAATTCAATGGTTGCCAATTTGATACCTTAGCACCGCCTGGGGAAACTTTTCAAATAGATTAGCAGGCCTCGATTCCTGAAATTGCATTTCAGTGGCTTCACAGTAGGACTCAGGTATCAGTAAAATTTCCCTAGTTAATTCCAAAACACAATTATGGTCTAGGAATTACTGCCTTAACCAAACTGACCAAATCTGACTTTCTCTAAGCCCCAAATTCTAAGTAAATTAGGAAATTAGAAACAAATGCTTTGTGTCCTATGAGGGAATAAGATCATAATCTTGGGAAAGATTATCCAAAAGAGAAACCAAAACATCGGAAACCAGGGTTTGTGCTGAGCCCTGGCTAGAAGCCAAGTCAGACAAGTCACTCCACTTTTCTGGCTTCCTTATTAAGGACCTAAAAAATAAAGGTTGAGGGTAAGGTTATCTGAAAATTACATCATGTAGATAAATACTCTAATACCATGCAGTCTTCAAAAGGAATAGCCTGCACGGGTCCATTACATGTGGGTTTTCTTCTGCCTCTGCCACCTGAAACCAGACCAACTCTTCTTTATTCAACGTGAAGGATGAAGACCTTTATGATGATCTACTCCCACTTACTGATTAGTAATTGCATTTTCCGTTCCTTATGGTTTTTCTTTTTTTTTTTTGAGAGACAGTCTCACCTTGTCACCCTCAGCATAGTGACGTAGTGTCACAGCTCACAGCAACCTCGAATTCTTGGGCTCAAGCGAATCTTTTGTCTCAGCCTCCTGAGTAGGTGGGACAACAGGCACCCACCACAATGCTTGGCTATTTTTGGAGATGGGGGTCTCGCTCTTGAACAGGCTGGTCGCGAACTCACGAGCTCAGGCCTCCCAAGTGCTGGAATTACAGGTGTGAGCCACTGTACATGGCTGTTCCTTACGATTTTAACATTTTTCTCTAGTTCACCTTATTGTAAGAATAGAGAATATAACATGTAACATACAAAATGTGTTAACTATGTTATCTATAATGCATCCAGCCAATAGCAGCTACTAGTAGTTACAAATTTTAGGAGTCAAAAGTTGTACCTGAAATTTTTGACTGCTCAGATGGTGTGCACCTCTACCTCCTGAGTTGTTCAAGGATCTACTGGCTAATACTATATAGCTACTTATTTTTAACTAAAAACCAATCAATTGGCTCAGTATTTATAACATTTTAGATCTCCAATAGTAGATTCACCAGTGTTCATTTTACTGTGCCTTTATCTAAATATAATAATTGTATTTTGTTGTAATGTCAGATGTTACATAAGATGAATTTTCTTAATTTCATATTAATTATGAGGGTAGAAACGATTGAGTTCTGTTTGTTAGGTGAGGCCCTGGTAGTGTGTTCTGTACCCAGGAGGTGCACCACATACCCTCACGTGGTGCCCATTAGTTGGGCGCACACCAATCCTCCCTTCCCTCTCCTCCAACCTGAATTTCCCCTTGTGTAGGTGTGTATTAATATTAATTAGTTTGTCTACTGGATTCATATTGAGTACACTGGATACTTGCTTTTCCATTCCTGTGTTACTTTACTAAATGTTCTCCAGCTTTATCCAGGTTAATACAAAAGATGTGAAGTCTCCATATTTTTATGGCTGAACAGTATTCCATAGCATGACTATATTTTAAAACTTTAAAGCAACAAAAGAATTAGTATACAAATTTGGTCCTTACATTTAAAGAGAATACAAAAAAAAAAAAACAAGTATTACATGCCAGCAGTATATATTTATTATTCATGAACAGTCAAAAACTACAAGGCCCATTATTATGAGTAACCACACATATGAAACATCACTGAGCAACATGGAGTGAAAAGGACAGTTATATTTTTATATTAAAAAAATAGAAGTACACACACACCCTTTCTCTCAAGTGTTCACTGCATACTTCTACAAAAGCGGGAGGCATCAAGCTGTAGAAGTTCCAATATACATAATATGTTGAAATATCTCAAGCATAAAAACCGTACGTTACGTTGCAAAAATAAAGTTTCTCTCTTCAAACATTTTGATCTGAGCTCAAGCAAAGCAAAATAATGAACACCAGTGATTTTCATATTATCTCACACACTTTAAAATAATCAACACAAAAGGGTAAATAATTGCAAAAACCCTGAAAATATGGAGGCTATGGGAATGAATACATCTCATCCAAAAAAAAAAAAGTCTACAGCAGATCTGTTTCATCCTGGTTCTCAAATAGTTAAGAATCATAATTATACTCAAAATGCAAGTTAAGCCATAACAAACAAAATGATAACAGAAATATCATTACTGCAGACAAGGCAACCTTGCCTTTTATTTCTTTAGACCGATTCACTAGTGCAAGAGCATCATTTACCTGAAAGATCAGAAGAGTCACAATTAAGGAGTACCCATACAAAACTATTTCCTTTTTT